TTACTTGGTGCCATTTCCTGATATCATATTTTTTGTAGAAAGTATATATAATAGCTTTTTTAAAAATTTTACTACATACAAGTTTTTTTGAAAGGTTTTAATATCTATGACAGGTTTTTTTGAAAGGTTTAATATATACGACAATTTTTTTAAAAGTAAACATTTACAATAAAAATCACATTCTACAGATGTATATATTCTATTACAATCCTATATTAATTATAAATATATACTTTTCCATTATTATTTGTATGTAATTCATGTTGCGACATCGTTAAATATATTTATATGTGTAATCGTGCATGGAAAAGTATTTAGCGCTATATCAAGAAGTAAAACAGACATTTACTGTCGCGCGAAAAAACACATCATGTGTTACACATGTGCTAGAACCTAGCAGCTAGGTATAAAATATGTCTGTCTTTTTCTACTATCCGAAGTAAAGCCGAAGTGCAAAGCGAACACGTATTCAGTTCTTGCGTTGTTCAAGTACCCTCTCCACGAGTTCACTGCCGAAACCCAGGACAAAAATTGGTAACGCTGGTACGACCTCGACAGAATGGGCGATCTGTCGTTGTAGATAGCCTTCTCATGAGTGACCGACTACTTCGTCCCTACTCGTAGGAATCACATGGAATCGAATAAACTCATACAACAATATATATATCGGTTTCAAAACGTCCGGCGACGTTGTCCGATGCCTAGTTTTCATTCCCGTCTGTTGTCCCATTGACCGTCTCTCAGATCTCTCGTACTCATGGCTCTCACCACTCCTTCCTTCCAGGTTTTCTTTGGTCTTCCACGTTTACAGCGTTGTTGAGGAACCCATTTCATTATCTTTTTTGGAAGTCTTTCTTCTCCCATTCTTTGAACATGGCCATACCAGATCAATTGCATCCTTTCAATATCGTCGTATAGTGTTCCGTCAATACCCATCCTTCTACGTACTTCCTCGTTTTGAATTCGATCTTTTCTTGATATTCTCAATGATCTTTTTATTGCGTCCATCTCTACTGCCTCTAGCTTTCTTTTGTTCTGTTCAGTGATGCGCCAAGTCTCTGCTCCGTATAGTAGGCTGCTTTTTACCGAAGTGTTGTAGACGTTATATTTCCTTTGTTTGCTAATTTCACTACTCCAGAGGATTTCATTTATGCATCCGATAATTCTTCTAGCTTGTGTTGTTCTTGCTTGAATTTCTCTGTTGTTGGTTGCAGTTCTGTCGAATGTTACACCTAGGTAAGTATAGTCTTCACATGGGGGTAATCTCCTCGTTGTTCTCCAATTTAATATTAAACAGTTCTGCTCCAATCGGTAGATATTTTGTTTTTTGAGTGTTTATTTCTAGGCCCCACTTACTATATTCCTCTTGTAGCTTTCGTGCCATGTATTCTAGGTCGTCTTTGTCATTGGCTATAACAACCTGAACGTCAGCATATTGAAGCGTATATAGACACACATCTCTCAGGTCTACACCCTTGGCATTTCCTTTTTCAATTCGACAGTGCCTTTGAGATATATATTTTGAAAAGTGTTGGAGACACACAGCATCCTTGACGTAGGCCTTTATTAATGTAAAACTCTTTTGATGTTTTTTTGCCAATTTTTACATGCGATCTTGAGTTGTCATACAGATTTTTGAGGGCCTTTATCAGTGTATGACTAATTTTGGTTTCTTGTAGCACCTTCCATAGCTTTGTTACCGGTACTGTGTCATACGCCTTGTTAAGGTCAATGAACATCAAGTGTACTTCCTGACTTGTGATTTCTTGTACGTTCTATTTTTCATTTCTTGTACGTTCCATTCCGTACCGATACTCATCATCCTTTTGCGTAACCTGGTCCGTTTACCGTTGCTTCCATCCTTACATCCGAGGCTTCTGCTAGTCTTTTTAGTAGACTAAAGTTTTTTTAAATGACAGGGAACTAGCCTGACGACTAAACCCCCAACCTGGAGGGTCAGATAGTTCTTAATCAAGGTTTTCCTCCTTTAGATCGATTGTCTTTCATGACTCTAGAGATCGATCCTTCCTTTCTTCGATCTGTAACCCCAGCCAGAAACCCTAACAGGGTGCTATCATCCGGGTCAGATAAACCCTGGTTTTTTAGAGAAATGTTACTCCTCTATCCCTCCTCCTTTCTCATCTCTTTCGTGATGTAACCCCAAGCTTGGGACTGGTATAGCGGAGTTAACTCATACAACAAACCTTTCATAAAAACATGTTAACTAACACCTCAGGACCAAGAAGCAACTCACTGAGTTCATACAACTTCAACATTTCAGCGTCCTCTGATAAAAATAAAAATAACTATTAACCGCAAGCACAGGGAGGCAACGTTTGTCCAGACATAAAATGGCAGTTCGATAAATCGTGAAACAAGAGGAAACGAAATAAGAACATCCTACAGGATAAAAACAATCAAACCAAACAGCACAGAATGTGACGTGACGTTTTACACGCCCGGGCGGATATCGCGATCACAAGGGCGGATACGTCCGGCCGGGGAAAATAATTTGGGATCGCATCCCGCCGAAAAGGGGAAGGCGATCCCTTTCTCCTTAGCATTTTAGCAAACATAAAGTAAAAGATCGGGGGAAAATTGAGCGGCCGTATACTTTTGTGTATATCCAAGGAGCATCCTTCGTGAGATCCGGAGGAAACCCAGCAGACAGGACGACGGAGGCCCGGACATCGAGTGGACGGACCAAGCACAGGCTACAGCCTCTACAAATCTCAAAACAACCTAGCGCATACCAACTTAAGAAAGCAACTTGTGCTGAAATAATCAAAAATAAGGGGACTCCCTGTGCTTTTTCAGACAATACAAGCAGACATCATATCAGCAATAAACATAATGTTCGAAAGAATCGAAAACCTAATGGAGCGGTTACTAGAAAGTACTATGGATCGAATGATTCAGCTCGTTAGCCAAGTCCTTTACAATCAAAAATGACCTATAATCTAAGAATATCGTAATGGAACGCCAACGGGCTTATTAAACGCAGACTTGAACTCGAAACATACTTAAACATAAATGACATTGATATAATGCTGATATCAGAGGCTAGATTTACCCAAAAATCATACTTTTCGATGAAAGGCTATAACTGTTATTTTACAAATCATCCATCGGGAAAGGCTCACGGAGGAACGGGAATACTAATCAAGAACAAACTAAAACAATACGCTCTTCCCAATTTCGAGAGTGACTTCTTACAGGCAACCACAGTGGCCATAGGCGATACAAATGGCCCGCTCCACATCTCAGCCATATACTGTCCTCCAAGACATACCATAACTTCGAACAACTTCCACGACTACTTCCAAACATTTGGCCCAAGATACATAGCAGATGGTGACTGGAACGCCAAGCACACATATTGGAGATACAGATTAACGCTACCGCGTGAACGACAACTGTACAATTATATACGACAACATAATCTAGAATGCGTCTTTCCGTTGGTGAACCTACTTATTGGCCCACTGATCCAAATAAAACGCCGAACCTTCTTGACTTTTATATATGTAAAAACATTAATTTAAATTACCCACAGGTAAAGTCCGTTATCGATCTTTCTTCCGATTATACACCAACAATACTAACACTACTTAACACAAACATATTACTCAAAAAGGAAACATAAAAACTAAGTAATAAACGCACAGACTAGATCTTTAGAAACAATATAAATGACTCTATCACACTGAATATACCCTTAAAAATGCAAAGCAGATAGAAACAGCGGTCAAACATTTTACTAATGTAATACAAACTGCTACCTGGAAAGCAACTCCTGCTATCGAAAGTAAAACTCCCCAAGGTAAAGAGTATCAACTAAATATTAGAAACAAAATAAAAGAAAAACGCAAACTAAGAGCTATATTGCAAAGAACACACTATCCGGTAGATAAACAAAACTTTAATAGATGCACCCAAGAATTAAAGCATCTGATAAGAACAATGAAAGAAAAATCACTTCAAGAAAGGCTACACACTAACCCTACATCGCAAACACCAACTACTCACTATGGAAAGTCACCAAAAACTTAAAAAGACCTATACATCATAACCCACCCATCAGGATGGATAACAACAAATCGGCAAGAAGCAGCCAAGAAAAAGCAGATTACTTTGCCAAACACTTACAGAAAGTTTTTGAACCACTTCCGGCGCGTGAATCAAATGACGAGGAGATAGCAGAATACCTCGACACTCCACTAACAATGTCTTTACCCATAACTAGCATCTCTCCAAAAGAGACATATAAAACAGTCAAAAACTTAAAAAATAAAAAATGCCCTGGCTACGACCTCATAACGGCAGAAGTACTCATACAACTTTCCAAGAAAGGAATTACTCTCATAACCGCCATATTCAATGGACAGGATGCTACCCAGCGCAATAGAAAATCGCGCAAATTATCATGATACCTAAGCCCGTAAAAAACCCAACCGAGGTCTCATCCTATCGCCCAATTAGCCTTCTACCGCAGACCTCTAAAGTGTTTGAAAGATTGTTACTGGAGAGAATAAAACCCCTAGTCAATGATCATATTCCCCAACGCCAGTTTGGATTTAGGGAAAAACACAGTACAATCGAGCAAGTTCATAGAATAGTCAACAAGATTAATAAAGCCCTTGAGAAGAAGAAATACTATTCAGCAGTGTTTCTTGACATAAACCAGGCTTTTGACAAAGTCTAGCATACAGGACTCCTATACAAGTTAAAAAGAATCCTGCCTCAACAATACTACCCATTATTAAAATCATATCTAAAAAACAGACGTTTTGAGATCAGATACCAAGATTCTCTGTCACAACTAAAACCTATAAGAGCTTCGGTCTCCCAGGGAAGTATCCTTGGACCACTTCTTTATATTATTTATACTACTAATTTTCTCACACACTCAAAAGTTCATATAAGTATGTTTGCGGATGACACTGCTTTGTTCTCAACGGACTCGGATCCCAAAATAGCTACTAAAAATATACAAAAGAACCTTAAAAAAATAAAAATATGGCTAAGTAGGTGGAGATTTAAAGTAAACAAAGCCAAATCTATCCACGTGACATTTACACTGTGCGAAAAAACCTGTCCCCAGATCTGTATAAACCAGACTCTAATACCACAAGCTGAAGAAACTAAATATCTCGACATGCATCTGGACAGACACCTCACCTGGAGGAAACATATATGAACGTGACGTGACGTGACGTTTTACACGCCCGTCACAAGGGCGGATACGCCCGGCCAGGGAGAATAATTTGGGACCACATCTCACCGAAAGGAGGAAGCAATCCCTTTCTCCTTAGTATTTTAGCGAGCGTAAACTGAGAAATCGGGAGAGAAGTGAGTGGCCGTATACCAAGGAGCAGCCTTCGTAAGATCCGAAGGGAACTCAGCAGACAAAATGACGGAGGCCCGGACATCGAGTGGACGGACCGAGAGACCTAAGGTCACGTGAAAGTATTTCAATATATTCGAGCAGATCCCGAGGAAAATGTCCCTACCGAATCTAATGTTACAGATTTTAAAACGATTAAGGCTAGTGAACGCGCCGAGAGGATGGACGCCAAGAAGGATAGCGCGCACTCTCAACATCAGGGGTGGACTCCACCCGATGGAGTAACCTTTGAGAGGAGCTGTTGTAACGAACCGGATAGAAAGAATCGAGCCGTAACCTGGTCAGTTCACAGCCAATTCAACACACGGTCAGGCCCCGCAAGGGAAACAACCGAGAAGGATGTACGAACAGGCTGCCGCAAGGAAATCGGTGTCGCCTCGGAAAAGCGCCACATAGGACCGAAAGATCAAGAAGCGACGCGAAAGATCGAGTTACGCCTCATCAATAGTAAAGGATCTATGTACGCAATACGATGCGCGGATTGTCAACGATGTCCGGCGAGCCTCACTGTCGTCACTGTTCGACTAGGCGGCATACCGGACGGACCCAGAGGCACCACCGGACGTCATCATATTCTGTAAGACCACTACTTCGACTCTCCAATAAGCGCGAAGGCGGCTCACGGCATAGCGTCCCGGACAACTCGCATTAATTAATGTCGAACTAATTTGTGCTTATTTAGTGTATCGTCGCTATTGAGGCCAGCGGATTAGATCGCCGGACGGACGCTTGCCGCACCGATTCCCGCTGAGATTTTGTGATAAAGTATTTTACTCTTCCCCCCGAAGTTGCCGAGCCGACGGTCGTTCATTGTACGAATTTCGTGTCGCGTAATTCTTGTATGTATCGAGTCAATCGTCGATTAATTGTGCTTCTCAGGATATTGTGCCTACGTCTTAGTATACCGTGCGAAGTATCGGCTTTCCATCGGTGGAAAAGCCTTAGTCATCGTTCCCGAATCACGTCACGTTCATAAGCAATATTTGGGTGAATTATCTATGTATCCGTTGAATAAAACCATCAACAAATTCTGCCTGTAATGAGGTAATGGTCGCGTTTGAGAGCCTCCTGCTGCTACCGAGTATCACGCACTCCACGGAGCGAAAGATCGCCTAAAAAATGTATCGAAACGTAACATCTATTATTCCGGGTTATGCAATTTAAGCTCGGAATCTCGTTACGGTGAAACACGGATATCGTCCGCCCTTTTGGCACACACTGGTTTATACTACCATATGTCACCCGTTATTCATCTTATTAAACATATTATCCTATTTTTATATGCTGTCGTGATTATTATCTATCCTCTTTCTCCAAATACGTCTCCATAAAGAAGGACTTCGTCCCTCTATTATTTGGTAAAAAAGGGGTAACCGGAGTTAAGCCGTCGTTTTCGCAAGAATTAAAGAACT